TTTTGTATAATAACTTAGGGTTCGGAAAATGAAAAAGGAAAGAAATATGGACATTTTTATTTTTTATTTATTTTTATTTTTTTGGTGAAAGTCTTTAAAAATTGTGAGATTTTTTATTAGATTTCGTACACTTAAAAGTTATTATGTGAAGAATTTTATAAAAGTCATTAAAAATTATTAATATTCTAAAAATTTGTGATTTTTTAAGATTTTTAAAAAGACTATAAAAGTTTATATTGAATACTCAAGTAATCTTAAAAGGTCTTTATCAAATACATTTAAATTTTTAAATTTATAAAAGTTTTTAAAAGTATAGATTGAATACAACTCCGTAGACTCTACTTTGCATTAAATTGAAAATATTAGAGCATTTCCAAGAAACTATTTGTTTATAAATAGCATCTTATGTATAACAGAAATATCCTTTAATTTAAATAATAAGTTTATTGATTTCTCCAAATCTTTTATTTAACATAATATTTATGGCCCTTCATTTATGGTCCTTTATTTTACTTTACATGAAATTTTTATTGATTTCTCCGAATCTTTTATTTAATTAATATAATATTTTTATATTTAATGGTCAATCAATTCAAATATGATTTGAATAATTTAAGAAATAGAGTATTAAAACATGTATCTTGCAAGAAAATGCAATCATATAAAGTAAGAATAGAGGATGAGTTCCATCCAAGGTTTATTGATATTCCAAAAATAAATTGATAAAATCCAAAACCATCTCATGCATTTAGAGTTGGGCGTGGGTTCGGATAGATTGAGTCTATTTTATATCTAATCCAAATCTAACCAACGTGATCGATTTGATCTAAAATCAAACCAATCCAACTCAACTCATCTCAACCCAGTTATTAGTTTAAACTCAATCCAACTCAAACCAATCAAGCTTGGATCGATTTGGGTTGGGGTGGTCAGTTTGGACTTGGGCCTAATTAAAGTTGGATTCGATTTTTTTTTTTATTTAGATAATTTTTTAAAATTTGAAACCACTTCAAAACCTCCATTGTTTTTAACCTGTATAAGGAATTCTTTTTGAAAAATAATGTATAGATAAGTTTGAAATTATGGAGCATTTATTTTTTACAATTTTTTTGGGATTCATTCATTTCATCATCATGTCCTTAATTTTTAATTTATTATCAAATCTTCACCTATTCTAGTTATTAAAGCAATAAATATTCTATACAGTATAACATGAACCAAGAACAAAAAATATATAGAAATTAGAGCCTCAAAATCTCTTCTAAGGCACTATATATCTATAATAGCGAAACTCTTTAAAAAGCACAAAAAATATAAATAAAAACATTACCAATTTTGGGAAAAAAATGAATTGTACATTTCAGTTTTGAGGAGTAGAGTTCACTAGTTCGTTGTGCTTCTTGGACGGACCAGAAGGAGGCATATGGTCCCCTTTAGGGAGTCTAGTGAAAATCAAGCCACTTTGTGGTAACTTACTCTTTTCTTGATAGTACTTCAAAATCGCCTTTGAAACATCCTCCGTTGTTTTTCTCTCCGGTCGAACCGCGATGCAAGAATTAAAGAAAAGAATGACGATAAAGAATACAAAAATAACCCGCCACGAGCTATATAGATTTTTTGACATAGATGCCATGAGGGAGTTTTCTTTTTCTTTACTTTGTAGGGTTTTTTGAAGAGAAGTTTATAACTTTTCTTGAATATGAAGATGAGATTTATATATACACACAAATACTATATATGCAGTGATAAAAGGGGATGTCAAATGCTGATAAAGATGATCTTGGTAGCCCATTGCACGCAATTGATGTTGAAAATTAATTTATTTAAATGTCAACGGTTTGCCAAATTCTAGTGGAATGCTAGCTATTGGATGCCCGCTCATGTTTTCTTCAATAATTGTTTAATCAGGATTGAAGAAGAGGAATAATTTTCTTGTAGATATGTTATAAACCATTAATTTTCTTGAAGAAGAGGAATAATTTTCCACAATTTATTTCTATTTTTTTTTATAAACCAAACCATATATAAATTCGGGAGCTAAACAATTTTTTCCATTAGTTTATATTTTTTCTGATTTGATGTATAGGATCTACAAACGAGGATGATACACGAGGTTTGAAATTTATGCCACTCCATGTAGATATTTCAACGCATTGAGAATTTTTAATAATAATTTATTATTTATATATTTTTATTAATGATATTTTAGGATCTTTTAAAGGAATGGAAGGAGTGGCGAAGAATGATTCATAAAGTGAGTTCTAAATTTATCGAGAATTAAACGTAGTTATTGTTGCGTCTTTTCTTTTGGAGGGCCTTGCTAAGATTTGGGATCCATCTTAAAAGGTCAACCTTATTAAGAGGAGTAACTCAATTTTTTTTAAGTTGGTTTATGTTTACATTTTCATTTGATGTGAGATTCTATCCCTTAACATGCCCCCACAACAAGGTGACTCGTTTGAGCAAACCAATCTTGAAATTCGTATGCTCACTTTTGGAATTTTAACCAAATCGAATTGCTCTTTAGAGATTAATGGACTCTGATACCATGTTAAGATTTGTGGTCCATCTTAAAATGTCAACTTTATTAAGAGGAATAACACAATCCTTTATAAGTTGATTTATGTTTACATCTTTATTTGACGTGAGATTCTATCCCTTAAAAGGCCTTATCCTAGTTTGATACTTACAAGCATTTGCACCTTCTATGAAATCCAGTTTGGCTTTCTCAGCGAATGCTCGAAGCATCTCTTTTATTTTTTCCCCATCGAATGATTCAATTTATTGCAAAGTAGTATCCTAACATACATTACGTAAATAGTTATGTAATGTTGACACACAAAATGTACAGTCCAATTCAAATTGCCCAAGAAAGGAAATGGACCAAGAGAAGAAGCTCATTTAGAGAGATCAGGGTAAAAGCCCAACCAGAAATGTCATTAAAGATGATGAAAGCCCAAAAACAAAGGTGCGTTGTCGACCAAGCCTGCAGAACGCCCAGATGTTGAGTGAATGAAGTATCCTATAANNNNAGCGGAAGACCAATTGTCACCCAAAAATGTTGAGTCGCCCAGAGTCCCAGCGATAACTAAAGCTTGTTGTTATCCAAAGTCACAATTTAAGGCGGTTTGAGCACATCACAAATAACGCCTCACGATTTAAGAGAGTTAGTGACAAGCAGTTATGAAAAGGACGTGGTGATAGGAGTTACACACGGTAGTTATTGGCCGGCCGACCATTATGAAAGAAATGGGTAGTTACAAGTAGTTTCTAAATGATTAAAAACTGCCCAAACCGTATAAAAGAAAGAAGAAGACAACGAAGATAGACCGACAAAATTTACTCTCAAACAGAGAATATATAATTTACTTTTTCTTAGATTAACTTTAATTATTTCAATTCCCTCGTACTTGTGTGCTTGCACCCTTTGGAGGCATCTTGTTCACGTCCAAACAGTAATCTTCATACTATCGATGATGAATTTTACGATCAAACTGAAATATGTTTATCCGAATTAACCAAGGGGGATGCGTATACTTGTCCCATAATGGCTAAACCTAGATATTTAGCCAGAGAT